CAGCTTACTCTTTGCAACGAGCTGTTTGATGTGAAGAACCGTATTCAGGTAGTGCATCAGCGTGTTGAATCACTTAGCGTACATACTGACTATTTTCATCAAGGCAGCTGTGTTACCATTCGATTCACTCTAAATGCGATTCGCTTTTTGTTTTCCCCAGTATATAAAAATCAAAATCCTAAGGAAGTAAAAATAATTAGCGTATAGGTTCGCGATGTTTGCTAAACGGAGTTTGCCACCACACTTATTCGTGCAACTCAATTCCAACCGACATAGATTACACTACTGAGAGATTAACATCACCAGTCACTAGGACGACATAATCAATCATGGAACATTGTGCGAAGATCCGCAAAGGCATCAAAGGCATTAATGACACGGGCAGAGTATTGAGCTGGATGAAGCTAAGGCGACTGTAGTGCAACGGAAGCTGTATGTTAGTTTTTGTATGCTATGTTCGAGTCTTGTATCCGACGGCCCAGCAAGTGAGGGGACTCAAAAATGCCTGATCACTATCAAAGCTGCAGAGCGATCGGGATTTGATTTTTCGCGTTTTCACAGAACAAGTTGCAGTACACAAAACAAGTTGGATATGAATGGTTTGGTGCCTAAGCTTATCTAACTGACGTTTCCCTACCTATCCAAATTCCACGGTACATGCAGTATAACACACTCACAACAATAAAATTCATTTAGTACAACTTTACCATTCATCAAACCAGTTCATTAGTGCCAACATTTGCAACTACACACATATGTGTGATGATGACTTGGAGTGGCGAACCACATAAAGCTCCACTAGGTTAGGTGTGATATTGAATCAGACAACAGCAAAGCTGTCGACCATCAAAGGTGGCGGTGAAAGGGCCCGAACCTTGGATCATAGGGTCCAGAGCACGCCAGTGACAGCGACCATTGCCACTACTTCTGGTTGATATCGTCCGTCTCATTCCTTCCGACCTGAACCACAAGCGGGAATTAATAAAGCTATTTGCCACGACCCCTGTGTTTACCTGATCCGGAGAAAAAAGAGTTATGGACGTTGCACAGCGAAAGATTTGTCGAACGGGTTAGCCAGGAGGATAGAAATGAACAGTGATAGTGCTGACAAATCGCAAACACAGGTGCAGAACGACAGACTAAATGGGGAACGAGATTCAAGACGCTGCAAGAGGACAGGTTACATCGTAAAAATTACTGACTGATAGATTTTTGAAAATACCGGTATCAGAGTAGTGTCCACCAACACCCACATTCCAACTAAGACTGTATATAACCCGTAAAGTCAGCATCGATCTCCGATGCTGTGTGTATGTGAAACAGAAAGAAAGCTAAAGAGAGACGTACTGCAGAACCAGATGGTTAAAAACAGTCAACAAATAGAAGACAAAACTGGGCAAATGTGCACGCGAGCCAAGTCAAAATGGTGACCCAGGCACGGAGCTCGTAGAATCGCCGAGTACAGGCAGCATACGCTGTTTACATGTGTCTTGCAATTACACAATACGCTTGATTATTTTTGGTAGGCCGCATTGGAGCAACTTTGCTGCATAAAAACGACAGGTTCGAGGATTCTGAAATCGGTGCGGTCTGGACTGAACGCGGAATAACAAGCGATTTCACATGCGAATAGTGGGCTGATTGGGAATTCTGATAACAGTGTTCAACTCAAACGGATAAGTTCACAAACCAGACAAATCAAGCAGAACGAGGACAGCTTTTCTTGTGCTATCCAAGTATGCGGTTTGTTTTATTCGTTACATCAAAAACACTACCCAGTGTGTGCCCAAGTTCCATAATCAACTCAGTAGTAATGGTACAGAACATTAGAATACTACGATTCAAACTAAATGGACCATAAGAATAAAAATAATAAGTCTATAGACCATCTACTCCCCACCCCACCCCTCTATGATGCAAACAAAACGTGTTCTTAAGAAAGGAGAACGAACGGGGCGAGAAGCAGGAACTGTATGAACTTCCTCGGAAAACACTGAGTTCTTTTAACAAAAATCTAGAACAGCCTCATCACTACAGTCGCGGTCGCGAGCCCAGTCTTTTGTCTTTTTGGATACAGAACGTTTTAGAATCTGGATATCGAGAGAGGCATCCATGAGATAGAGCTTTCGTCAACTTCCTTAGTTCACTTCACCCTGTCAATGAGCTTTCTTTCAACTTTGATCCAGGATGAGCAGTTAGGATGGGTAGTGAAGACTTTCGAGAAATAGCAAATGATGTAACGAAATAACCAATTAGAAGAGCGGGTGGCCAATTTCAGTTTAGTTTTTACAACCATTAACCATGCATTTTTGTGAGCCGGTTTTGGTTGCCCATTTGGATAAAACCGAAGAATGAACATTAGAATGTTGACAGCAGATTCAAGCGGAAGATGGCGCATTTATATAGATTGACCTTACAAGAATAATGAGTAGATGCATGAGCGCCACTGTTTGCTACAACTAGCCATATCGTTCCGTGTCTCTAACCATCGGTGATCATGTTCTTGGGGTCCCCAGCCATTGAACCTAACGGGACCCATGTGAGCCAGTCTCCTGGTCAGGGTTTTCATACCCTCAGGCCAGGTCTTAATTTAACCGTCGAGGTAGGTAGGGGTTGGAAAAAGATCAAGGGGTGCCAAGGCAATTACTGGTTCATTTGATTACGTGTAGCCCCCTACTGAACGCGAACAACTGTACAGAGAGGGCAGTCGTTGAACGCATAAAAGCAACGAACCTCTTTAAGTTTACGAAACAATAACACGGAACATGCCGTGGAATGTACACATACCCAAGTGATTCCGCGTGAAAGAATTCATCTGTAGCCCATTTGTACCTTAATTCAGAAAACTGGGTCCGATAAACAGGTGTCATCGCAACTCACAAACCCATTCACCAGCCCCACCCCCACCATCCGAATCGTCAACATAGTTGGCGAAGGAAGGTCTACCGTTTCGTCTTAATTTTTCGCTAGGTGTAAGAAGCAAGCCACATACCTGAGTTATTCCTAGGGGGCTTAACAGGCGGTGACCAAACTCATTTGGACTGGTTGAACGCGTCAGGTCTGAGTGTTCGGGGGACAGGCTAAGAAATCAAACCTCTCAATACACTAAAGTTAACGTGTCTGGTTTTTGCTTAGGTGGATTTAGAGGTCTGAATGTTTGTTTCGGCATGCAGTCTGCTCGACCAAATGGGTTTGATAGCTTCGTTTCACCGGATTAACGTACGAATGGGCCACATCTCAATGCTTTACTCAGTAGCGTGTTTCCAGTGTGAAGAATTACCCGGTGAACCTTTTAGTTCACAAGACTGACGTCACATGTGCTCCACAGGTGCCTCAAACTGGATGAAGTCAATTGAACCTAGCCAACTGCATTAGTTCAATGACCGTGCACTTTTGTAACTTAGACATCTCAACCAATGTCGAGTGTGACACAATCAACAAGATCATCAAAGGCAATGAGGCGTTTCAACCGTGTGATAGCTCACACAGGCTTCTGCCAGTCTTTACGGAGTGCATAGAGCATATCGAATC